TCCCCGCCACAGACGCCGCCAACGACAGGCGAGATGCGTACACCAAGCAGGCCAAGAACGAGAAGGCAGTGCGCGATCTGTTTGCGCAGCGCGGCGTGCGCGAGTGGAGCTGGTCCAGCGGTCTGTGATAGAGCGCCCGCTAGGGTCATTGTGTCTATTGTGTTTACGGGAAGCAATCAAGGATCATCAGGACGATGGCACAGTTGTCCGTGTGAGGAGTGTCCGGAGAGAGTTGATAGGGTGAGCGTGCGGATAAAGTGTTAGGTCGCGTCAGCTACAAGCGTCGAGAAATCGACGGTGTGGAGGGAGGTGGCTCGATCACGGCGCGGGCACGAGAGGAGAGAAATCGCTGCAGACCGGCAGTGCGGCAGTGAGCCAAAGTTGCGGCCTCGGTTGACGCGTCCGCCTTGAGAACGTTGGGTTCGCCAACACTCAACCTTGCTGCCTTCCCACACCTCCTACACCGCACCACTACACCTATTCGTCTCTGTTCTACCAGTGGCGCACTTCACCAGGACCATTGCTCACGGCCACGCCCTCTCATCCTCGCATTCGAATCGCGCTCGAACGACGGCTCCCACCAGCTGCAGCGCCTTTTGTGTCTCTCGCATCCCCACGACCGAGCAGGCTTCCCAGCTAGAGCCTACGCACAGCACAGCGGACAGACGGCTCAGATCGATACTGCGCAGCCGCTTTCAAAGCCACCACATACACACCCAGCAGCATGACGGCACCACAGACCGTCGCACAGGCGGACGAGGCGATCAAGGCGGGCAACGCCAAGGAGGGTGAGCGCATCCTCAAGGCGATCCTCTCCGAAAAGTCGTCGTCGTCATCCTCGGATGATGCCTTCCTCAAAGAGCAGGAGGCGGCGTTGCTGCGCCTCGGCGAGCTGTATCGCGACACCAAGGATGCGGATGCGCTCGCAGAGACGGTGCGCTCGTCGCGCACGTTTATGAGCTCGATCGCCAAGGCCAAGACGGCGAAGCTGGTGCGCACGTTGATCGATTACTTTGACGGCATCCCCGGCAGCCAGCAGACGCAGATCCAGGTGGCCAAGGAGAACGCCGAGTGGGCCAAGTCCGAGAAGCGCATCTTCCTCAAGCAGAACCTCGAGACCAAGCTGATCGGGCTGTACTTTGCCAACAAGCAGTACCGCGACGCGCTGCCGCTCATCGACACGCTGCTGCGCGAGCTCAAGAAGCTCGACGACAAGATGATCCTCACCGAGGTGCACCTGCTCGAGTCCAAGGTGAACCATGCCATTTCGAATCTGCCCAAGGCCAAGGCGGCGCTCACGTCGGCGAGGACGGCGGCCAACTCGATCTACTGCCCGCCCACGCTGCAGGCGCAGCTCGACATGCAGGCCGGCGNAGGCCAAGGCGGCGCTCACGTCGGCGAGGACGGCGGCCAACTCGATCTACTGCCCGCCCACGCTGCAGGCGCAGCTCGACATGCAGGCCGGCGTGCTGCACGCCGAGGACAAGGACTACACCACCGCCTACTCGTACTTTTTCGAGACGCTCGAGGGATTCGCGCTGCAGGACGACGCACGCGCGCCGCTCGCGCTCAAGTACATGCTGCTGTGCAAGATCATGCTCAACCTGTCGGACGACGTCAACAGCATCATCGCCGGCAAGCATGCGACCAAGTATGCGGGCAAGGACGTCGAGGCGATGAAGGCGGTGGCGCAGGCGCACGAGGACAGGAGCCTCGAGCGCTTTGAACTCGCCCTGCGCACGTACAAGGACGAACTGTCCAACGACCCCATCGTCAAGAACCACCTCTCGGCGCTGTACGACACGCTGCTCGAGCAGAACCTGCTGCGGGTCATCGAACCGTACTCGCGCGTCGAGATCGCACACATCGCCAAGGAGGTGCGCCAGCCCGTGCGCGAAGTCGAGCTCAAGTGAGTCCTCCTCCGCACGCCAAATGCACGCGCTGTCCACACACATACTGATGCTCATTTTTCTCGTTTGTCGCCAGGTTGAGCCAGATGATTCTCGACAAGGTCTTCCACGGCATCCTGGACCAGGGCGCAGGATGCCTCGTGGTGTACGACCAGCCCGTAGAGGACGTAAGTTGCCCGCCAACCCGCTCGATGTCGTCAGCTCAGTGCTCTCGGATGGCCGCTAACCTTTTCATCTCCCTACCTTGGCCTTGTGGGATATGCAGAAGACGTACCAAGTCACGCTCGACACGCTCAAGCACGTTGGCAACGTGGTGGACTCGCTCTACAAGAAGGCGAACAAACTCGCATGAGCAGGCGGCGCATCGTCTCAATGTTGAATGCAGATTGTTTTTGCCTTTGGCGGATTGATTGTAGGGAAAATGCAGTTTTGATCGGTTGCGCAGATGGAGGAAGGAAGGAGGGAGGAGAGGGGTTGAGGATCAGTCGTGCTTGACGTCGGCGTGGGTGGTTTTGGTGGGAGCGAAGCCCTTGCCGAGCGTGGCGTTGTCGGCGTGGGAAGGGTGGGCTTTGGCAATGACGCGCTCGAGTGCATCGAGGCCGCGGTCGATCTGGGCGAGGTCGGGACCGTAGGAGATGCGGATGAACTTTTCGCACGGGCTGTGCACGATGTTCCGCCTGTGTGCCGGATTGATATCGAAGGCCAGACCGGGTACGACGATCGTCTTTTCGCGCAGCAGCTCCTCGAACATGACCAGCCCGGAGTTGAGCGGTGCGGGTAGAGACGCCAGGCTGAGCCAGATGTAAAACGTAGCTTGCGGTTCGACCTTGACTTCGAGGCCCATCTTCTTGAGGCGGGCGAGGACGTGCTGGCGCTTGTGGCGGAAGAGCTTCTGGAGCGCAATGCGGTCCTGGTTGCAACGGTCGATGTCGAGCATCTGCAGCGCCATGCACTGCATCGGGTGCGAGGTGCCACCGTCAAGGAAGCTGCCAGACTGGTTGAGCGCAGTGATGATGTCCTTCGGTCCCACGACCCAGCACACACGCCAGCCTGGAAGACGCCAGCCCTTGGTCAGACCATCGATGAGCACGACGGGCGTATCGTTGATGTCGTCAATGTACTCCGCGGCCGAGTTGGCTCGACCCAGCGGACCGTCGTGCATGTACCAAGAGTAGAACTCATCGAGCAGAATCGTACAGCCTAATTCCTTGGACGTGTCGACGAGCTGCTGGAGCTCCTCGCCCTGGATGAGTGTGCCCGTCGGGTTGCGCGGATTCGACATGATCATGGCGCTCAGCCCGCGTCCACGGATCTCCTTGCGCAAATCTTCGTTGCCGAGGTGGTACTTGTTCTCCTCCGAGAGCACGGTAGGGATCGGGACGAGACTTTTGAACGCCGACAGCATGCTTTCATACGAAGTGTATTCTGGCAGCTGATATCCACAGTTAATGGAGCCAATGACCGCGGCGAGCCTCGTCATGCCCGCACGCCCTCCCGGGACGATGCAGACATTGGAATGGTCGAACTTGTTGGCGTGTTTCTGTCGGAAGGTGTGGTTGTAGTAGTTGGCGACGGCCTTGCGCAGCGCCATGGTGCCCGTGTTGGGCGCATACTCGTGCACGGCGGACCCAAACTCGGAGAGGTCGAACTGGAGCGAGCGCGGGACGCCGCCGTCGATGTCGCCGACCTCGGGCGCGCCCTGGCCCATGTTGGCCCACTCGGGGTTGCCGTAGTAGAAGCCGTTGCTGGTGGCGCGGTCGGTGACGTAGATGACGCCCGTGGAGCCGGGATGCTCGATGGCAGGGAAGCGCTCGCCGACCTCGTTGGTCGACGTCGCCGAGTCGGGCTTGTCGGCGGTGGAGACCTTGCTGCCGCGTTTGCCGCTGTGGCCCGGATGTGCGCGGAAGATGCGGTGCGCCTCGGATTGATCCTCATGCTGGAGCACGTCAATGACCGCCTCGGCAGCCGCTCGCAGCTTCTTGGCTGGACGGTCGCCATTGTCTGCTTCGCCGTGCGGGGCCATGATGGTGGAAGGGAGATGGAAGAAGGCGTTCCTTGCGAGCCGCAGACTGTCGTGGTCGGGAGAGAAGCAGGCAGAGGCGATCGAATCGTCTTTGTTTTGGTGGGCAGGATGAAGCCTCGGCACGGCTGCAGCAGCCGGCACAGCATGACGCCCGCGGTGCACTGTGAGTAGTAAGCGGCAACCGGCGGCTCGCCTACACCTCAGCTGTAGCGGCTGACTTCCGATGGCCCGTGCTGACAGCCGGTTGCAGTCTAACAGCTTTCAGCCTTGCCACGCCTTGTGGCCTATCATCGGCGTAACAGCGTCATCTCGAAAAAAAAACCGGCGCGTGCGCGTGTCGAATGCCGCCAGGCCGTGCAAAGAGAAAGCCAAATTTGTCAGGGCGAAGCCTAGGCTGTGACCAACGCGAGGAGGCCTTTTTGGCTCAGCAGAGCAGAGGAAGGGCGCAGCAGCCAAGATCCGCGGCCACCGCAGCTCTTCACCGGTTGCACTTCTCCGAACAGCGTTTCGCGACCATACGCGCTCGCCATCAGCCCGGCTTGGCCACTGACATCACCCCCACCAAATCCTCGCTGCGTACGCCGAAACTGCCTCCGAACGGACCGCCGCGATATCTCCGAACTACGGCTCCTTCCCTCCGAGCAAACCTTGCCAGATCCGCCACGTGTCGGGACATACGCGGCCCCGGGTGCACAAGGCTCCTATTCCACAATCCCCGCTCGTATCAGCACGCCAAGCCGCCGCTCCGATCGTCCGCCCCGCGCCCCTCGCCCCTCGCCCCTCCCCTGTCATTCCCATAAAATATGGCCGAGCTGCGTCCAGGGTCGACACCCAAACGTACCGTCTCCTTTGGGCCCTCGGACACCGTCACCATGGCTTCCAACGACGTGATGGACGCGCTCCTCCCGTCCTCCAACGGCGCCAACGCATCCTCCTCGTCCTCCTCCTCCGGCTCGGGC